TCTGCGTGCTTTTGTTACTGCTTTTTACAGTGTATACTAGAACTATTATAGAAATGTCTAATTGTCTAATGAAGACTACTGTTTTGTTTATGCTTTCATTCAAGTCAGTTGGATGGTTTTTTAAAGTGTACTTATATGACTATCACCCCAGTGGAAATAACGCTATACATTTGGGCTGTGACCTACTGAGATAGTTGTGATTCCTGCTGGACATAATTAGTAAGTAAGCAATCAGCAGCGAGCAAGACATGCCTGCTGTATCTTTTATGTCGCCGACAAAGAGGACATAAGGTACACAATTTAGAAGCGGAAAGGGCAGCTGATTTCCGCTACATTCCCATGATAGAATACTGACAGCACTATAATAAGTAGTACTATAGGTAGAAAATGCAAGATGAAACAACTAGGACAAGCAAGCCTCCTAAGCTACCACCAGAGGGAGCAATTGAATTTATTCTGGGGTTTTTTCAAATTTGGAAAAAGGACTAATTTTCACACATGCTCAGAAACTTGGGAGTTTTTACTTTGCACTCAGAAAAATGGGATTGAGGCGCTGCTCAACTCAGAAATTCTACTGAAAAACTCGGGCTGGGCCAATGGTCCCACTCACTAAAATGCTCGATTAAAACAAACCCAATCAAAGTTAATCATGATTGTTGATTTGACCCAGCAAGTTGGGTTATTACTTTAACCCAAATATTGTTTTTTTATTCAATCAGTTACTGGGTTATTATTATTACTCTGATGGGTGGATTGGTCCTAGAAAATGAGTTAATTGTTAACAATAAAATAGCAGTGATTTAAAATATATATTTTTGTTTTCTGAAAACGTTTTAAAATACAGTATGAAGCCTGGAACATATGATTCCCTGGAGCACAGAGGAGCTGCATCATGCCTGTAGTTGATAGGCATGATGTAGTAGACCCAGTGGAAAGTGTAGTCACATTTTGTTGGACCAGTGCAGATCTAAAATAGTTGTTTGTTCACCTATATACCCACACTGAATGCTGGGATGAGAAATCTTACAGTTCAAGTTAAAGTACATGATCAGGACTGAGGCCTTCAATGGTGAATGTTTTAACAGCTTACTGTATGCACTGTAGCACTCTTCTGAACTCTGGAAACATTGGAGGAAGAATCAATACAGAATATTGCTACTATTGTACGTTTGTAGTTTGCTCATGGACATTTTAAACGTTTGGATTTGATGTTGAGCCCTGTTTTTAAATGGCAGAGGTGAGACACTGTTAAAAATGTGAAATGTAATTTTGAGATTTTCCCATAACACAGTGAGTGTCTGTCATTGGCACAACAATAAGTTGGATCGTCATGAGACAGGTTCACCGCATCAAAATGCAAAAGCACCGAGCTCAGCTGTGATGGTCGACATATAAATAAAATCTTTGATTGAGAGGTTCAACTTTTTTCCCCTCCAGCAGATGTGTCTAATTGATTATGCCAAATAATACACAAATAACACCTACTTCGTCATCACACAGAGAATGTAGTCCTAACCTGACTGTCGGTTAAGCCTCTAAATTGCAGATATAGATCTACTCTATTTCTAGGTCAGATACATGCCTTACAGTACAATCTCTCTACTGTTTTCAGTGAGTTATTTTTGTTACTCTGAAATTATTTGATATAGATCAATAATCAATATTGAGAGACATTGGCAACAAATCCAGATTTTAGATGTACCGGTGTGTAAAGTTCCAGTTTCCCTGTAACTTTACTTTTTTGTCGTTTCAGGACAAGCCACAAGAGTGAGCTGCTGCGCTTCCCATACCTAGAATGCTGCTGCAATGGTTAAAACTATAGACCATACATGAAATGAGTTGAGTAGATAATTAGATAAGGTTGAATTTCTATTAATCTGCTTTAAAGCCATGAGGTGCCATCTAGGATCATTACCAAAAAGTCTTCTGAGTCCGCTGAGACTAAAAAGCGTTCACTTACAATCTCGTCTGAAACTTTAAAATTCTCTTAAACATGAAGACAAGGAAAAATAAGAGGGATATATTTATCTATATAGCACATTTCATACGCATAGAAACGCAATGCGCTTTATAAAGACACTGCAGACTGAAACATCTTCAGATCAACCGGACCCCAAAACACGAGAGATCAGTTTACGCAGCTCAACTGAAATCTTACTGCTATCATGCACGTTTGAGTAGGTGAAAACACATGTTTATAATTGACTACATGCCCAACAGGGCTGATTCTTACCAACGCGCTCCTTAACAACCCAATCAGGTGCGCGTAAAGGACGCGCCGCACTGTGCGCGCTCACATCGCAGCTCTGACTGGACAACTGTGGAGCTGCTGTGACACAACTCTGCTCTGACACAGCGGTCCGACGGCCGACGAGAGGGGAGCCAAACTCGTCGTTCCAAATGTGCGTTATCATTAGGCCTTCATCAACGGGACACATACTTTTGCTGGCTTTAGGCGGATTCTTTCGCAACATTCAGTTTGGTTAACTTTGTTCCCCTGTCGGAGAAGGACAGACTGGAGACTGGATGTGGACGGGTCAGTGAGCTGCACACCACTTCTCCTGTCCAAACTCCCCAATGTCCGCGCAGGACGGCATGATGATCGCCGGACTTCTGCTCTACATCTTCTGTGAGGGTAAGGTATAACATGCTGCTTGAAAGATGAGGTAACATTTGTGTGTGCACATTGTGGAGATGGTTTGGCATTTTACCTGAGGACACCAGCTTACTTGAAAGTGTGGTTTGTTTCAGTGTCACAAACTGAACACATGCTTCGACCTGGCCCCAAGTTGTTTGAAAGTTTACCTCATCTGCAAATGCAACATGTGGTGTTGGGAATGAGGATGCATTCATTGATAATGAGCAATCCTATATTTATTTATTTATATATAGTATATTTGATTAAGTGAATTTACAATATTGTATTTGCAAAATTCAAAAGTACTAATACAAACTTTTCACATTTTGTCATGTTTACGAAAAACCAAGGCTACATTTATTATGTGGGATTTTCTTCCTTGAACGACGATAACAAAGTAACATACAACATCCACCAGAGAGGTCTAGGATAAAGTTGCAATTGAAAGCATGGTTAGTTTATACAAATATGTCTCAAGCATTGAACATCTCACAGAGCACTGTTTACATCATCATCCATGCATAGAAAAAGTATGGCACAACTGCAAATATATCAAGACACAGCCGTCCACCTAAACATCTAAACAGCTCGAATGAGGACAACACTGATTAGAGATGCAGACATGGGGCAAAGAGAACCCACAGCTCATCTGGGGGGAATCTGTAGATGGGCCAAAAATTGGTCATGCACTAATCTGACAGAGCTTGAGTTGTTTTGCAAAGACAAATGAGCAAAACTTTCTGTCTATATGTGCAAAGCTTCTTAAGTCAGAAAGTAGCTGCTCTGATTGCGTTTTTATCACAATTATGTATAACTTTGCTTTTACTTCACAGTTGTCTATTGCTATATTGTCCTGCAGTAAAAAAAATGCGGTTGTAAACAAGAGCAAATATGTGCAAAATTCAAGCTGCACTCCTAAAAGCCATGTAATGGTCAATATGAGACGCACTTCTCCTTTTGGTGACGTTTAGAATAAGCAGTATTATTATAGAGAACTCTTTACAGCACAGCTCAATAGTTTTTACTTGGACGAGTTGAGTGCTTTCAGGTAGACCTGAACGTCCCAAAATGGTGAACACTTTTGTGACAGTTAGAAGCTGACAGCACGACAGCCAATCTTTATCAAGCTCTATTTCATCCAAACACACCCCATTTAGGAGTGCTAATTATCCTGATTCTCATGATGCTCTGACATTACGCCTAATTGCAAATGTTATCATTAAGAAAAGCTGGGGGTGTAAAAGACGGAGATGCCTAATGATACAGCTTATCCTATAGCTGTCACCGGTATAGTCCACGGCCACTGTTCTATTTAGAGCTTGTTATTTTTACCATCTGATGTCTGACCGTGTATAGCTGATGACTTAAACAATAACAGTGAGAGCTCGGGGACAGACAGCAGGGATTCTCTAGAGGCCACACTCACGTCTTCACATAACGCTATTTCTAAATAATGTTGCAGCTGCTAATAAATACTTAAACTAAGCAACGTCACATCTATTTTACATGCAGACATACGTTGTCATGTTGTCACTCTGTCACAAGAGCTTTTTAAATCTATACATTACATTTACACAAAAAAATGGATCCATCCTCACAGAGAATGCACCATAGTTTGAATTTGCTTTTTCTATGGAATAAAGCAGGGGATGTTCCATTGCCAGAAAGTGACAAACACGGTGTGACATTTAGAACTTTGTTAACAGCGTAATGAATCACCCATTACTTTTGGTGTGCTCAAGTATTTGATTTAAAACTCATTACTGTAAATGTTAAGCCACACACAAACAGATGCTGAGTCCTGTTCGCTTAAAACAGGGGTGTCAAACTCATTTTGGACGGGGGCCAAGTTTAGAAGCATGAGAGCTGGTTGGGGACAAAAGTATAAAAGTAATTTCCTTAAATTATCTTATTTTTTTTTCACATAATTTCATCTTTTGACAAAAAAATAATTTAATTTGACACAACTTTGGATATTATTTTCGAATAGGTTTGGATTCAATCTCAACTGGGACAAATATCAAAAATAAATTGTCATATTTAAATATTGTCATAGATAAATATAAAAAAATAAAACCTAACTTCTAATTACATGTTTGCTAACATTTCCAAACAGATTCAATTATATGGTTGTTTTCCTGAGAAAGTAGGCTTTAAAAATATAACATGTCATAGTATAACATTACCATCAATGCTGTAAGTTAATGTAATAATGATAATTGAATATCATTTCAGGGCCACTAAAAATGGTCTTGCAGGCCGGATTTGGCCCACGGGCCTGAGTTTGACATGCCCGACTTAAACGGTTATTGGACGTAATTTGTAAAACATGCATAAAATAAGTTGATTAACTTGATCAACTGTGATCTTAGCACCAGTTGCACTTGGTCCTATTTGACAATCCATAACATGTTAGCATGTTAGCATGTTAGCATAGAGAGGTGGAGCAGTTGTGTCTATTAGAACCCCACAATAGCAGCATTGATTTCTGAAGCATTAACGATGGTGCAGTGCCTTTCAGGAGCTCATGCATTATTCCCGAGATGTCTTCTCTTAGAACTTGGGTTAATTTGGCAAATAAAACAAACCTGACGGCACACGGAAAGAATACTCTGAAATTTAGATGGAAGATTTCAACTAAATAGCAATATAAGATATACTGGGGTCTTATTGAAAAGTGCACTCTATCGGGGAAAAGAAAGGAATACATAAAAACATTGTAGCTGCCATAAACACATGACCTTACTTTAAACAATAGAAAAGGTGAAAAGTTCAGTGTTGCTCATAAATACTTTTAAGATAACATTCTTTCTACATTTTCACTATAATGTAACCTTATGAGTATGTCTGTGGTAAATTATTATTATAAATATTATAGTGATATTTTTGCATAAAGAGTAAAGCTGTTTTTTATATATTTGATTTCAATTCAATTAAATTTTCTTCTCTTCTTTCAAAAAGTCATGCTTTGTAAAAGGGACTCTGCATTCGCTCATAGGCCCCAAAACAGTGTGTGAAACAAATGTGACAAAATACCAACGTTTATAAATTCCTAAACCATTTTCTAATCGTTTTACCCATTCAAACATTCTTACAGTTTCATTGTGTACTCTTCAGTTCATTTTCTGGTAGTTGGTTTGACACATAGTTGTGTAACTTTTGAAACTTTTGTATATCCAGAACAATGTACATTCTACTTTAATACATCTATGACTTTTTAGTTCTCAGCCTTTGGGGTTCATGGTGTTGTATCATGTAAGAATAATCTGTTATTTCATTTTTCTGGTTCAATGCTCATAGATAAAATATATAATTTTGTGCGTGTTGGTGAATTGTTTGATTTTCTGAAATGATTATACCATGTTTTATGTGAGGTTTTTAGAACATTTAAACAACAGAAATCTATTTTGATAAAAGCAAATATTGTTGGTTGGAGTGAGAGAACTTATGGAAAACTTTGAATATGAATAATTTAGTGCAATATGGATGTTCATAGGTTTGTTTTGTTACTTTAGCATTCCTGGGTTTGATTCACAGATCTGTGCTGATGAATTGACAACTTTGTAAAGCCCTCTGAGACGACTGCGGTTGGGATTTAGGGCTTTACAAAAATACATGTAATTGAATAATAGACCTTTTCAAAGAGGATACTGGGCGTAGGATTTGTGCATTAAGAGCCAATTTTTTAAGGTGGAAAGATATCAGGGCATTACACCCAAGAACTTGTGCCATGTTCGGGTCTGCAGAGGTCATTATCTGTGAAAAGTGGTCCGTGGAGAGAACAGCAGTGAACCGGCAACAGATGACCCACATGAGGCCACTGAGATCATTTGGGTAAAATAACTGCAGAAATGATATATATATGAACTGATGAAACTTTCAGTACAACACACCTCCTGTATAACAATCACCGTCTGTCCATAATCACATTTGTAATTAATTGAAATGAACAAATGCATTTATTGAGTATGTCGTGGTCAATACAATAGAATATAAAATATGCAGTACATAGTAAAAACAAAAATAAGAATGACATAACTTCTTCCTGGTTGATCATTGATGTTAAACTAAAACCACTGTAAAATTAGTGGTCCTACTAAGAAAAAATTTGCTTCATAGATATAAGCTTGATTGGGTTGGATAATGTACACATCATATTTGACCCGTGTTTGTGAAATTTAGCTGAATTCGGCTCAAATTTACTTAAAAGAGAGACGACATCTTATTGCATTTATTAATCATTGATCATTGTTATATTTACAGTAAACCATATGGCTGTAATCACAATCCCGTTGTCTTTAACAGGAGACTATAACACTCCCCGGTCGCTTGAGACCTCCTCATTGTTCTCTCTATCATTTCTGCTGAGCCATTGTCCTCATGTTCTGCTCTTATAATTCAGTTTCATTTAAGACCATAGCCCACAAAGATTAAACTGGCACTCTGCCCATTAGACATTGCTCAGATAAAGAAGTAAAATATGCCTTCTGAACATGCAATTATTTCACACATTTGAAGCTTAAAGCCAGGATGTTAATTAAAATCTCCTCCATAAAATTGCAAATCAGATGGTTTTTGTCCTGATTGACACTTCAGCAGATGCAATAGTCTTTTTGGCTATTGTCTCAAGCGGTTATTTCCTCTTTGTTTGACTGTGTGCATTGGGCTTCAGTGTCCACCCTTCGTACAGACACATCATTCAGTAGTGTGACGAGAGGCAGTTTGAAATATTTACTGCTTCACTGAGTAGGTACCATGTTTTACCCTGAGAGGAGTCTGCGGTGGAAACTCCATCTTTTGTATTCATTTTATTTATGCAAAGTTCAAAAGTTGTTTAAAGGCTCTTGCAGCTCTTACTGGTTTAAAAAGGATAACATAGTATAGCATCCATATTTTGGTAGAGACTAAACCAGTTGGAAACAGGATTGCAATGTCTGGAAGAAGAATAAGATAATGTATGATGTTTAAAAGCATCCATCCATCCATCCATCTTCTTC